CACAAATGTGGGTGGTGTTAGAATGATCTTGGTGGAGGCAGGGGACGGGGGAGTAAGGGCAGCACCCTATGTTCTCCCTGCTTTATGTTTGTTTTTATTTTTTAAGTCCTGACCTCACTAACCCCTTGCCCTGCAAGCTCCTGATCATGCCTGTGAATCAGGGCTGGCATAAAGCACAACACAGGGCAGCAGGGGCCTCCAAGGCCAGGCACAACTGCGTTAGATTCCTGGTTTTCCCTCTTGTTAAGTGTGAGATCTTGGGCAAGTCACTACACCCCTCTGAGTCTGAGTTTCCCTATCAGAAAAAGAAGGAAGATAATCCCAACTGGATAGGGAAAATGGAAAGATGCTTAGTGATAGAGAAAATACCTCCTTTCCCTAAAATTTGGAGGCATGAGACCAGGTTTATGTCCTAGCTCAAAGTCACAAGGTTATTAGCGACATAGTTAGTGACACGGCGAGTAACTTAACTTCTCTTTTTCAAGGGCCATGAATTTATGTGTTCTCAGAGGCCAGACAGTTCCCATAAATAGTGAGGCACCAGGCTGGGAAAGTAGTAGAGTGAAAAGAATATTTCCATGAGTAACTTAACTTCTCTTTTTCAAGGGCCATGAATGTATGTGTTCTCAGAGGCCAGAGAGTTCCCATAAATAGTGAGGCACCAGGCTGGGAAAGTAGTAGAGTGAAAAGAATATTTCCATAGACCCTGCCTGTCAGATCTTCTGGTTATTTTTAAAGAGAACCTGGAAGCCATCTTTTAAATAAACTCAATTTTTGAATATTGCATAGTGGGAGAATACTGTGGACTGGGCAGAACATTCCTATAGGCCAGTTCAGCTGTGCTCCACCAACATCAAGACTTGGTGCAGTGCCTGACACTTAGCAAACCTGCAGTGAACGCTGCTGCTGCTGCTGCTGCTGCTGTTTTCTGAAAGCAACTGATGACTTGAATAGGACAGAAGGAGTGAAAGTTGGAGGGCACGGGATTCATCTGCTGTGAAAATCTATCCCGCCTTCTCCACCTCCGCTCTGCACTGAGTAGAGAGTATGGCTCCAACCTCAAAGGGCTTCAGCAGAGCTCCACTAGGCATGTAGAGGAAGTCCATTGTCCAGTCTAGGGCTGTGCTGGATGGGGATGAGGTGGGGGGACACTGGGAAGACAAAGCCTTGTCTGGGGTGGGGGGATGGGGTAAGGGGATTGGAGCTGGGCCTGACCAGCTGCTGACCATGATAGGCTGGGGAGGCTGCGTGCAGTCCACTGCAGGGTCCCCCCCTTCCAGGCTTCCACCCAGCATTGAGCCCTTGCCATCTCCTTACCAAACATGGAAATTTATGGAGCCTCCTCCTGTAATGAACCCACCAAGGCAGGCTTGTCCCTTACTTTGCCCCGACACCTGCATCCTGTGTCTCCTCTTACTCTCAACTGCTTCCTGCTGAGGAGTCAGTCAACAGCAGCCTTGGGTGTGGTGCTTCAAAGAGGGTGACAGGAAGCTCCCAAGACATGAACAGAACTGCATGTCCTATCTGAGAGGCAGGTGCCAGGCAGTAGAAAGACCCCTCATATCTGGAGTCATGAATCCTGATTCACATCCCAGCTCAAGGCCCCACGGCTATTACTAGTAACAGAGCAAGTTATTTAATTTCTTGTCCTTGTCACTTAAATGAGCTGATAAAACTCAGAGCACAGGATTTGTGAGAGGATTAAGGAAAGGCAAACCTTCGAGTCTGTAAAACACCTACTGTGTGCCAGCATGTGATATTGTTCACATACATTATTTCCTTTTTTTAAAAATCATTTGTACATATCTGTGGGGTACAGTGTGTTGTTTCAATACATGCATATAGTGCACAGTGATTCGCTTAGAGTACATAGCACAGTTTTGTGCCCATTAGCCGACCACTTTCCCTCCTCCCCACCCCTTGCTGTTTCCTTCATTGCTATCATTTTGTGGCCCTATGAGGTAGACATTGTATTATGTAGTAATATTTTTAAAACAATAGATATTATTTGAGTGCTTATTATGTGCCAGGTGCTGTTCTAACTAAGCACCTTACATGTTTAACTCATTTAATTCCTCTGACAACCCCACAAGGCAGGTACAGTACTATTATTGACCTCACGTTGCAGATGAGGAAACTGAGGCACAGAGATTTTACATAACTTGCCCATTTCACAGGACTAGAAAGTAGCATAGCCAGGATTGAACCTGGGCAGCCTTGCTCTAACCACTAAGCATTTGTAAAATATTTAAGACAATGCCTGGCACAGAGTTTTAGTGCTTAGTAAATGTTTACTACTACTATCATCACAGTTATCCGATTTTGAAGAAGAGAAACTGAGGCTCAGACAGGTAATCTCCCCCTCCTTCACCCCCACCCGCTTGACCGTCCAGTCAGTAGATAGCAACTCAGGGATTCCATCTCAGGCCTGCCCAGGACTCGTGTTCTTTCCACCTCTCTGAGCTGATATGCGGCCAAGTGTCCAGTGAGCCTGTCACAGGCCCTGAATGCTTGTTTCTGGAGGCAGAATCTGCCAAATCTTCCACCTCCCCCCCTCCCCTCAGAGTGAACGAAGGCCTGAGGGCTTTGGAAGCTGATCCTCTGCTCCCACCTGCTTCCTGCAGTTTCACTCTGAGCCTGAAGGACGAGGCCGCCCGTGTTCCTGTGAGGCTCAGGGCTTCCTTCGCAGACAGAACTCTGGCCTGGATCTCCCCGTGGGGACGGAAGAAGCTAATCTCGGCCCCCTTCCTCTTTCACCCCCAGCGATTCTTTGAGGTGGGTCAGAGCCAAGTGGCCACATCCCTCAGGAGGGGGTGCAGAGCTGAATTCCCATAACGATCTGAGAGAGTATGGGATGAGTCCCAGGGTGGAGGGCACAGTGAACATCATGAGGCAGAGCCAGACAGCAGAGAGAATGTCCACGTGATGGCCCTCAACCCTCCATGCTGATGTCAGGGATCTCATGCCCAGAAGCTCAGATTTTATTAATGCGAGTGGGGGCCCAAGTATCAGCTTCATTAAAAAGCTCCCCTAAAGATTCCAATGTGCAGTCATAGTTAACAGGAAGCAACCCCAGTTACAGATGGTAAAACTGAGGCCCAGGGCTAAGAAGATCCCTGTGGAAGGCCACAGTGGGCTGGTGACAAGCTAAGCCCTCGTCCAGTTCTTTTCCAGCACTGGTTGCCCTCTGGGTCCAGTCTGTGTCCTCTAAGGGGAGGAGGGTCTCACTAAGCACAGCATCAGGCAGGCAAGGGAGGGTCTGTCTGGAAGCCCACCACCTGCTCATGCCCTCCTTTCCCAGGTGCTGCTCCTGTGCCAGGAGGGAGGGCTGAAGCTGGCACTCAATGGACAGGGGCTGGGGGCCACCAGCCTGGGCCAGCAGACACTGGAGCGACTGCGGGAGCTCCAGATCAGTGGGAGCATCCAGCTGTACTGTGTCCACTGCTGAGGGCTCACTCCAAGGGACTCCAGCCAAAGAAGAGAAAGGGCAGCCTGTACCCAGGCCCCACAGTATGGCCCTGCTTTTCTCCCCTCTGTAAACTGTCCACGTGTCACCACTGTGCCAGGCCTGGTTCAATTCTGGGGTAGGTGAGTCTGCAGGGGCTTTGGGCCCCATAGCAGAAGGAAAGCACGAGGGTGTGACCGTGCTTCCAGCTCTGCACCTCCCTCTGCCAGGAGCAGGGATTCGGCTCCATCCTCCTCCAGGGTCCAGATTGCACTCACAGAGGCAGGTTCTATAGCCTAACAAAGATACTCAAAAATACAGTGGCTTTAAGAATTTAGACATTTAGTTCATTCTCATTTATCCGTTATGGAAGAAACGGACCGCCAGGCACAGAGACCGTTTCAATCTGGGAAGTTCATCAGGACTTACCAATCTCTTCAGCTTCATTCTAACACTTTTAAGGAAGAAAACTACTTAAAAGTCAAATATTGACCCTAAATAAAAAGCTGAAGGGCCGGCCCCGTGGCTCACTCAGGAGAGTGCGGTGCTGGTAGCGCTGAGGCCATGCATTCGGATCCTATATAGGGATGGCTGGTGCACTCACTGGCTGAGCGTGGTGCAGACCACACCGAGGAGAGTGCGGTGCTGGTAGCGCTGAGGCCATGCATTCGGATCCTATATAGGGATGGCCGGTGCACTCACTGGCTGAGCGTGGTGCAGACCACACCAGCCGAGGGTTGTGATCCCCTTACTGGTCAAAAAAAAAAAACCTGAAGATCACCTATATCAAAACATGAAATCATTGGTGCTTTAAAGTCAATGTTGTGATCCCCTTACTGGTCAAAAAAAAAAACCTGAAGATCACCTATATCAAAACATGAAATCATTGGTGCTTTAAAGTCAACGTGGGAGCAGTAGGAGCCTGATCAGTAGGAAGAGAAGACCCACATTCCTCCTCCTCTTTGAGAAACCTAAGATATTTCCAGAGAGAGTGCTGGGCAGCCAATTCTGTCCCAGGGTGACTTGTAGAGGCAGAGATATGCTGTCTACCCACTCCCATCCACATAGGACATTGTCTTCCTAAAACCACTAGAAGATATTGGGCTGAGGCAGGGGGGCAGACCAGAGGGGGCCCTGCAACCACAGAAAAGGCCCTGCAGGTGTGGGGTGCCTCACACAATGTGGGCACCAGGCATTCACTAGCACCATACGGATAATTTGTGTGCAAAAACCAGAAATAAACCAAGAATGGTTTCAGCAGCCTGGACATCCATAACCTAACAGGTAGACAGAGCCAGGTGACTCAGGTTTGGTTCAACGGGTGAGCAAGGCCACCAACGACCCGGGCGCTTCCCACTACATTGGTCCTGTGTCAGCAGTGCTGCTGTGTATGGCACTCTATGGCCACCACAGCCCCAAGTGGGTCATTTTCATGTGACAATGTCCAAAAGAAGGAGAGGAAGATGTGTCTCACCATCTGTCTCTCTTGTCAGGGAGTGAGTCTTTCCCACGAGCCCCTGGCTGACTGGATCCCTGTGTTCAATGACCAAACTGGGTCACATTTCCACGCCCCAACCAATACATGAGCAAAGGGGAAGGGGCTAGCCTGGCAGGCTCAGACCCCCCCCAGTGCATCACCTGGACCTGACGGGGGGCTCCTGCTGCCCATGAACATCAGGGCTCTGTGAGCCTGGGAGGAGGTGACTGTGGCAGGCACATGTGTGTGTGTGTGTGCGTGTGTGTTTGTGTGAGTGTAGATTGTTAGGCAATTATGTTTTAGCTGACGTCTAAGATGGTGGTGGGTGGACAGGAGGAACACCCAAAATGGCTGTGGAAAGTTTCAGGTCCCTAGAATAGCATGTTTTCCGAGGATCACAAAAAAACCCCTCCCCCTTCTTCCTCACCACCACATCCCCTTCCTGCTAGCGCAAATTTCTCCACCTATAGGAAAGTCCCAGCTCAGCTTAAACCCTGCTCGCTCCCTCCCCTTCCTTCTTAGCCCATAGGAACAGTCCGGCTCAGCCTAACTGGATATAAAAGGCCCAGCCCGACTCCCCCTGCTGCTGCTCCCACCTCCGAGAGGGCGGCCCGCTTTCTCGTTTTGCCTGCCTGATACACTTGGGTTGAGTCCCTGTCTCCTGGTGTGTTTCTTTTGCACTCGGGCCAGGGTTTTTTCCTTTCATAGATGGCTCTTGGCTGGGCAACCCACACAGAAGACACAGTCACCTACTTCCCACCCACCACAATACACAGGTTTGCTGTGAGGCCACAAATAGGCTGGAACCAGTTCTCACACAATCACTCTGGTTCCCCACAGGGTGTGGCAGGAAGAGTGGGGGCCAGTGACTTCCTGAGGCTGGAGGAGAAAGCAGTGGCCTGTGGAGGTAGGCAGGGCCCCCGGGGGAACTTACACNTGCTGCCCATGAACATCAGGGCTCTGTGAGCCTGGGAGGAGGTGACTGTGGCAGGCACATGCGTGTGTGCATGCGTGTGTGTGTGTGTGCATAGGTGTTTGTGTGAGTGTGAGTGTAGATTGTTAGGCAATTATGTTTTAGCTGACGTCTAAGATGGTGGTGGGTGGACAGGAGGAACACCCAAAATGGCTGCGGAAAGTTTCAGGTCCCTAGAATAGCATGTTTTCCGAGGATCACAAAAAAAACCCTCCCCCTTCTTCCTCACCACCACATCCCCTTCCTGCTAGCGCAAATTTCTCCACCTATAGGAAAGTCCCAGCTCAGCTTAAACCCCGCTCGCTCCCTCCCCTTCCTTCTTAGCCCATAGGAACAGTCCGGCTCAGCCTAACTGGATANCAGGTGGGCCAGGAAAGAGTTACAAAGCTACAGTCGGACAGGAGAATCAATTCTGGTGCTCTAGGGGGACGTAATTAAAAGTATTGCATATTTCAAGATAGCCGGAAAAGAGGATCTTGAATGTTATAACCACAAAGAAATGATAAGTGTTTAGGTGATAGATATGCCAACTATTCTGATTGGATCATTATATAATACATGCATGTATTCAAACAACAGACTGTCCCCCATAAAATGTACAGTGAAAGAAAACTATTTTTAATTAAAAAAAAAAAGTGATGACAAGTGTCCACCGCTGCCTTGCAACAAAATCATCCAGCAGGCAGAGGAGCTGGTGGGGCAGGAGTTGTGCTATTCAGTGACCAGCAAGAACTGCGAGCACTTTGTGAATGAGCTGCGCTACAGGGTCACACGCAGTGACCAGGTGTGTCCTCAGCAGTGTCCTCTTCTGCAGGAACTGGACCATTCCCTCAGCTGACATTTGCTGGGCACCAGGGTGGGTGGAGATAAAGAGAGAACAAGACAAAATAGCAGAGATGGGATCCTGCCTTCGAGGACGATACAGTGGGGTGGGGGTGAGGGTGGGGAGAGAGGCAACTGTGCAGATCAGTGCAATTAGGCGGGTGATGGCCAAGGAAGGGGGTCATGGACATGACAATCACCCCCTCGTTGAGCCCTCCCTGGCCACCTGGCCCTGAGATGGCCCTCCGCAGCCCTAGAGGCAGGTTTTAATATCCCCATGTTACAGGTGGAGAAACTGAGGCTACAGTGCTTAAGTAACTTGTCCAAACTCATTAAACTATTAGGTGTGGGGTGTCTAGTACCTGTCAGCCAGATGCAGAGGGGGAAGTTGAACCCGGGTGTGTTTCTGCTCCCAAGGCCCTGATCAAGGAAACCTTCACAGAAGAGGTGACACCTGAGCTGAGCCCAATTTACTTCTTTTGATTAATGTGAAAGTGGAAAATGAGCTGGAGATTTCCAGGATGAGGGCGGTAAGGAGTGAAGGCAGAGGGAACAGTGTGAGCCAGGAGGAGGCAGAGCCTGTGTCGCGTTGGGCAAATGTTTTCTGTAAAGGGCTGGAGAGGAACCATTTTGTTTTGTGGGCCAGGTGGTCTCTGTCTCATTACTGTTCTCTGCCGGTAGCTCTGCAGCAGGAAAGACGCCGCAGACGATATGTCAGTGAATGGGCGAGGCTGTGCTCCAATAAAAGGATTTATGATTTTATTTTTATCTATTTCCAAAAGGAGATGGCAGGCTGGGTTTGACCCTGTTGGGAAAAATAGGAAAATGTCAGGGCCCCTACGGTGTTCAGAGTCCTGCCGAGCATTTGCTGTGTATGAGTGTATGTGTAAATTGTGTATGGG